GACATTTGTATGCACCACATACAAATACACACAGTTCAGAAGTTAGCCAAGGATTTAAGTCACTTTCACATACATGTCTGGGGGCTCTCCCTTCTGTGGCCTCCTTTCTAGTATCTCTCTCCCTGCTTCCCAGATTCTCTGGTAGCCTGGAACTCTGTCCTTTCACTCTTCGTGCATATATAAGACCATGTGACTTTCTGTGACCATGTGACTTCTGGCTTTCCAAAGGGTGTGCACTGGGGAGGGACCAAGGAGGAAAAGCTGAAAAACACAAATTTTACCCTCACGCAGTACCCTTTTTTCAAAGATAACATCCATATAGCTCTGTTTTTAAGTGTTCTCCAGTGCCTTCAAATAGCTGTTTCTTTTTAAAAATGATTTATTTATTTATTTGTGTTTCTTTGAAAGGCAGAGAGTGAGAAAGACAGAGACAAAGACAGATCTTCCATGTGCTAGTTAGCTCCCCAAATGCCAGGGAGGCATCAACCAGGGAAGGGCCAGGCTGAAGCCAGGAGCCCTGAACTCAAACACTTTGTCAGCCATCATCACTGCCTCCCAGGGTTTGCCTTCACAGGAAGCTGGAATTGGAAGTGGAGCCAATTTCAAGTTCAGGCATTCCAATCAATATAGGATGTGGACATCCCCTGCGGCATCTTAAGTGCTGTGCTAACTGCCTGCTCCTAAAAACCGCTTCTTAAATATTGTTTCCAACATGCCAACTACCAGGAGGGTTGTTTGATGCAAAATTCTCTATCATCTGAATTCATCATAGAGTTTTAAAAAAACGCATACATACATTTAAGTTTTCTCACAGAATATGACTAGCATGACAGACACAAATCAATTCTGCTCTCGGATAACTTCTTTTTTTTTATAAGAATTTCTTTTTTTTTTAATTTTATTTTTTGACAGGCAGAGTGGACAGTGAGAGAGAGAAAGACAGAGAGAAAGGTCTTCCTTTTGCCATTGGTTCACCCTCCAATGGCCGCCATGGCTGGCGCACCGTGCTGATCCGATGGCAGGAGCCAGGTACTTATCCTGGTCTCCCATGGGGTGCAGGGCCCAAGTACTCGGGCCATCCTCCACTGCACTCCCTGGCCACAGCAGAGAGCTGGCCTGGAAGAGGGGCAACCAGGACAGAATCCGGCGCCCCGACCGGGACTAGAACCCGGTGTGCCCGCGCCGCAAGGTGGAGAATTAGCCTAGTGAGCCGCGGTGCCGGCCTCGGATAACTTCTATATCTATTTATCACCTTCTATATCCTAAGCATTATACCAAGCAGTGATAGGTAGGGAACAAATCAAGTTCCATTTCTAACTTCATGGAGTTTATCATCTAACACAGAGCTGTTCATCAACTGAAGAAACTGAAATCCAGAGAGCTGAAGGACTTCCTGTTGGGTTCTAGAACTGAGTAAGTAGCAGAAATTGGACTTAAAACCAGAGTTCTGCCTTCTGCATCAGTGCCCACACTGCAGGCTGCATCTCATGAAACGGTACTGTAAATCTATACCACTAATTCATTCGTTCACTTAAAATTTATTGAGCAACTTTAATGTGTCAGTAATTGCTCTAACATAAAAGGTACAGAGGAGATAAGAAAAACAAATTTCTCCTTGCATTCTACTTATACTTAGAGAATAATTACTTTCTTCAGTAATAGGTTAATGCCCTTGGAATTATTTAGACATTTATCAACAACTTAATTTTGTAGGATTTGTGTATTGTATTTATTAGGGAACACATATCACAATGAGTTTACAAAAACAGATTGCTAGAAGGAAATACGATTACAATACTCTTTATGATAAAATCACTTCACTGGAGAACTTACCACAAGAAAAATGCTTTGCTGATTTTAAAACAAGTCTTTATTACAAAAAATAATAAGAATTAAGGTCTAGACACATGCATTTCTCTGAATAATTGTTTAGATGACAATAACTCTGAAAACAATAACCACAAAACCTGACTATATGATCTTCATAAGAAAAATTTGAAGGATGAATGAAAGAAGAGCATAGACAAGGGAGGAAAAATAGAAAAGTTGAGTGATAATTTTCAACAATTCTTTTTCTATTCTCAAGACATTTTATCATCCTTACACATCCCCTATCTCTCCTCCAAATAGTCAAGCACCTAAGAAAAGATTCACTTAAACTCCCAAAGGTAGCACGCTGTTCTTGACTATAAACTTGGATGTTTTTTTCCTTAGACTTTTTTTTCAAAGTGTATTCTCAAGGCCTCAACTTCATCTTGTGGCTTCTCCCTTGAAAACTGGGGCCCACACTGTTGCGTAGCAGATAAAGCCATTGTCTGCAGTGCCAGCATCCCATATGGGTGCCTGTTCGAGTCCAGGCTGCTCTACTTCCAGCTCTCTGCTATAGCCTAAGAAAGCAGCAAAGATGGCCCCAAGTCCATGGGCCCCTGTACCCATGAGAGAAGACCCAGAAGAGGTTCCTGGCTCCTGGCTTCGGATTGGCGCAGCTCCAGCTGTTGAGGCCAATTGGGGAGTGAACCAGATGATGGAAAGCCTCTCTCTCTCTCCCCTTCTCTCTCTGTGTAACTCTTACTTTCAAATAAATAAAATAAAATCTTAAAAAAAAAAACAACCTGTCATTTAACATAGACCAGAGCCTTAAACTAGGAGGATGAATTACTTTGTGACAATAAAATTTCAAACATCAGCCAGTGGGTAGGTAGGGTAAATAAGTAGGTGAGAGGCTTCAAGGTGCACCCCTCAAGCCATGTAATATGGAACTATTAGGGAAAGGAGGGTTAAACCTTCCACCAAAACATATCCTTTCCAAAAAAGAGCATCAGTGAATTTTCCCAAGGAAAATCTGGGCAAGGTGTAGGCTGAGTAAGAGTCATCCAAACCCATTTCTTTCCTCTAGTGAAATTCAAACCAGTTCTCTTCACTTGCTGAATAAATGCAGACTCCCGGTTCTTTCATCCCTACGTATTAACATCAAAAGTAGTGTTTTTAGTAAAGCAATTGTTTTAATACAACTTTATCATTGCAAGCCTGTTTGAATATCTATAGCATTGTTATTTATTAGTCCATCCACTATTTATTGCATACCTACTGTATGCTGTAAGCAATACAATGATCTAATGTATTGGGAAAGTTTGCCAAACTTGTAATTTTAATCCACTCTTATTGGTATTATCAGCTGTAGAGATGATTATAATACAGGGCAGTCCTGAAAAGTGAAGTTCAGAGAGAGATGCAGGGATCTTTGGCAGAGCTCAGTTCATCACAACAGCGCTCATGCTGCCATGTGTTAATCACTCAATCAACCTCAATTACATGAACAAGTAGTCAAAAGAGGTAACACATGGAAAGATCTGAGAAGTCTGATTTTGGCAGATACACAGATCAGGAAACTGCATAGAAGAAATGGCATATACACAGAAGCAGGAGTGACCCCCTGAGGCATGCACTTGAGCAAGTAGCCACAGTGAGGCCGTGCAGGGCCTGAAGTGAGGGCGGAGGCCAGAAACCCAAGACAAGGACCTCAAAGCCCTTTTCCAGCGCTATATCTCATTGTTCCCTTGTTACCATTTCTTTCTCCACAAACCTCCTTACTTTTTGTGCTTTGTTATTTCAACAATGATTTCACTCAGAGATCACAGGCATATTTCACTTCTTTTCTCTCCCTTGCCACCTGGTCAGAAAAGAGTCTGAACAATTTTCTTTTGAAGTTCCACTCGCACAGCCCTTCCCAGCCTCCTGACACTCTGCTCAGTGAATCCTTACGGCTCCCATTGTCCCGGTCCATCCCTTCACACTGCATCTGCATGAGCACTTGCTAATTCCCGCGTACATTCTCCAGTAAGCCATGCTAAATAGAACTCCCAGGTTACTTCTCCTAAAGTAGAGCTCTTGTACTGTCATGTTCCTGTTCAAGAATCTGTAATGGCCTCCAATTATGTCCTGAATAAAATCAAAGTTTGTGGAAACTTCTTGGCTCTATGAAGGATTTTGAGCCATTACAGGAATTTCATCATGTAATTCACATGGTTAAAATTATATGGTGAAAATTTGTTTTTGTTAAATATAAAACATAGAAGATAATATGACAAATAGAAGATAAGGTGGGGACTGGCACTGTGATGTAGCGAGTGAAGCTGCCTCCTGGTGTGCTAGTATCCCATATGGGCACCAGTTTGAGTCCACTTCTTATCCAGCTCTCTGCAATGGCCTGGGGAAACAGTAGAGATGACTCAGGTCCTTGGGTCCCTGCATCCTCGTTGGAGACCCGGAAGAAGCTCTTGGCTTCCTGGTTTCAGATTGGCCCAGCTCCAGCCATTGAGGCCATTTGGAGAGTGAAACAGTGGATGGAAGACTTCTCTCTCTCTGCCTCTGCCTCTCTGTAACTCTGCCTTTCAAATAAATAAATAAATCATGAAAAAAGAAGAAGATAAGGCAAGAGTGCAGGTAAATAAATGACTTGGCATGCTTAGGCTAGTGGTGCTGGTAGTCAAAGCCAGGAGAAACTTTATGGAGACAGAGGGAATGAAGGGTAGGAGGGCTATTTAAAAGTTTAAATTGATTACTCTTGGGGATAGACTGGATACGGGGCAAGGAAGTGGGAGGTCAGGATGCTCTCCAGCTTTCTAAGCAGTTAACAGTTTGCTAAGATGAAGACAAGAGAAGCAGCAGCTCTGTTGAGGAGTTGGTGTGAGCAGATTAGTTTAGATTAGTTTAGAAAAAAAAGGTTAGTTTAGCACATTTGAATTTAGGATATCCAACTGGAGAAATATCAGAGGCCACTAGACTTACATGACAGGAAGCTCAGAAGAGATGTTTGAGCTAGTGTCATCCAACACCTGTTGAGAAACAAAACTCAGAACTTAGTGGCTTACTATAAAAACTATTATTGCACATAAGTTTAAATCAGCTGGGTGGTTCTGTTGATCTCTGCCAGGCTGGGTGAGTTGGGCCAAACAAGCTGATGGACCCGTCTGACAACTGATGGATCTACAGGGCTTGTGGTCAGAGTGATGGAGTATATTTCATCATCAGAATAGTCCAACTTGTTTGCAGGAAAACAGGTGGAGAGATCCCAAGAACAAAAGCATATGTATATCAAGCTTCTTGAGGTCCAATCACATAACTTGCACTTCTGCATTCTGACCTTCAAAGCAAGTTGCAAGAGGAATCAGATTCAAAGCTTGGGGAAGTCAATCCCACATCTCATTGGAAGGAGCAATAAATATTTCTGGTAAGCTTTTGCAAGCTAACTGAGAGTTAAAGAATAGATATGGGAGTCATCAACATATAGGTGATAACAGAAGCAAAAGGAATTGGTACAATTTCCCAAGGATATGAGTATAGGGAAGAAGGGAGCACAGGGCAGAGTCTGGGATTCTAAGGAACAGCACAACGTAGACAGAAGAGGGCCGACAAAGCACTCAACCATAGAAGGAAACTAGGAAATGGCCAGGTTGCAGAGATAGTGCTGCAATACAAAAGGCATGGAACGCAATGCTGAAATAATGGGCTAAGAAAATGTCAAGACAAGGGCAGTTTCAGCAAGGTGAAATAAAAAACTAATATTTAGTTAGCACTCTTGGTGCTGAATAACATTTGAAATTAATTGGATAACATTTGAAATTAACCGATGAGAACTTCCTTTGTAATTTTTTTCCTCATTGCAATATTTCTACTGTATTATTGCTCCCCCCTAGCCATTTAGAGGGGTTTAATTGCTTCAGGGAAGGTCTGTGGTAGGCTGGAAGGCCCTAAATATTTTGTGTTTGTTTCCAATAGGCTAAGCCCAGAGGAGAAAACAGTTTATCAGAGACAGTAGTAGAAAACCAGGATTTGGAATAAGCAGGGGCAAAGTGGCACTTGATTTTCATGAAAGAGAGATAGAGATAGAGATAGAGAGAGAGAGAGAGAGAGAGAGAGAGGGATTTCCCAAGATCCAGGAAGAGGAGTGAGATGTGTAGGTGAGAGAGCAATGAGATGCCCACTTTCTGCTTCCCCGCAGCCCTTCAAGAGATAAGCTTGAAGAAAGAAGTGTCAAAAATGTAATCATGCATTTGAACAGTGATTCCCAGCCTCTCCCAAAATTCTACATCCAAAGAGGTACCTGATCTGCAGAGCCCATGATGGGAAGAATAATGGACATCCCAGCAGGAACCCAGGTGAGCACATACATAGTCAAGACTGGGGATGACAATCAACGCGTTGGTTCATCCAGCAATCATAGAACTTTAAAGAGACCCTGAAGGACTTTATGTCTAAAATCGATGGGCTAGAATTACAAGCTAGTGACAGCAGATGAACTGACTCACAAATAAAGAAACGTGATATGTCTCCAACACCTGGGTTCGTGGACTGAGAGTCACACTTCTCTGGCCCACTCTGTGTGAGGTAATGTGTTAAACGGTTTAAGTTCATCATTTTATTTCATCTTCCCTGCAGCACTGGGAGTTAGGTTTTATTTGTATTTCTATTTCATAGATAAGGAAACTGAAGAAGAGAAAAATGAAGTAAGTTTTTATGGTCTCAAAGTAATAAGTGGTTGAACCAAGACAAGATAATATCTCTCTTAACACACATGGCATTCTTGTCCTGATGCTTTAAGACAATTATCCAAAGAATTTATGCAAAATAAGAGGAAATAACAACCAAAACCACAAGTGAGCACACACACTTTAGTAATCATCTATACTCTTTATCTGCTCTTTTTCTAGATTTTGGTGAGATGTCAACTTCAACTCCTAGGGAATGGCCTAGCCCACCAGTTCTCTTGACCTGGCCTGGAAAGAGGGGTGGGGGAGCTAGGAAAATAACTACTGTCACAATAATAACATCAGACTTGGAGGGAAAGCAAGGTCCACTACTCAAAAGATGAGAAATGCTGGTCCATTTTCTCTTCTTATGCTCAGAAATGGGTTAATGGTAATCAGTTGGAATCATAGAAACTGATGGAAAAGATAGACAAAGAGAATATGGGTTGGAGAAGAAAAATGAGAATAAAAGTGGAGCAGAAAAAGGACTGGTGGAGAAAAAGAAGCCCAGAGGGCACGGAACGATGATCAGAAAGAAGAATCAGACTCTGCTCCCCTGCAATCCAGCCCTAGGAAATCCTATTAGGCAGCAAAAATGAGATTATTGTATTTTAACTTCTCCACAATATGCAAATGACTCCATTTAGCTGCTAAACATGTTGTTATTGAATTCTGAGAAATTCCCTTCATAAAATGTAATATTTTTGTGACAATTTTGTCAGCAATGCCAGATTGCTTTTCTATTTTGGTTAAGCTTTTATCTGAGTCTAGTATATGTCATCTACTTCCAGATTCCAAAATGATTGCTTTTATGTAATTTTTATGTAAGCAAGAAATAATAACATGCTTAGAAATGTGAGAAATGTGTTAACCTTCCCATTATTTTTCAGTGCCCAAGAGAATTAGAGGGTGGGCCATAATGGGGAATGTAATTATTTCTCATGATGAATTTTTATTTATGTTAATATCCTCGAGAGCCCACATATCTGTTATTAACCACGTCCGTTTGTTTTGCTGTGGTCTTCGTATCCCATGCCTTTAATCCTTCTACTTTTAGATGCTGTTTGCATAACTGGCAAAGACTTTAAACCTGTGAACAAAGGACTGAGAAATCACACTTTATATCTCTGACACATTTACTCCTCCTTGCTAACGTCACCCCAATTCCGACGAGTTTTAATAAAGACACTAGCCTCTCCATTTCTGCAGTTCCTGACACTATCATGTCATCATGTCAAGATGGAATTTTGTCTTCTGTTATGACCCTGAATTTTTATAGATTTATTTGACTTTTTTGGTAGGGACAACTCCCTATCCAAGCAGTCTGAATCAGTGAAGAAAGTAACAGCAAACAATGTTTCCCATGAAATCAACTAAGCCTTTTGAAACCATCTCAATTGGTTTTCACTGTTTAACTACGCACCCCAAACTGTAGGAACTTAACGGTTTTATTATTATTCCCAAATCTATGGAGTTCACTGAGCAACCCTGCAGTCAGCTGTTGGATTGCCTGGCTGTTCTGTAAAATCATCTACACCAGTGTCTGGAAGTTGGTGCCGGCTGTCTATTGGTATGGGTGGAGATCTCATGAGCAACACATCTCTCACCTTCCTAGGGCATCCTGACCTTCACATGGGGACAGAGAGAATCCCAGCGGCAAGGAGGGGAAGTGCTGTCAAGCACAAACACATTCCAAGCCTCATCACAGCGTGTTTTCTCAGGTCCCATTGGTCAAAGCAAACCACACAGCCAAGCCTAGATGTAAACATGCCGCCTCTTGAAGGGAAAAGCAGCAAAGTCACATTGCAAAGGAGCATGTAGACTGGGAGTTGGGGGCGGGGGGGATATGCAACCATGGTTCCATTTGTCTCAGAGGCTAGCACGTGGTGTCACTGCTGCACACACATGAGGAAAATAGGGCTAGCTATGCAGACTACCTCTCTGAGAGATGTAGTAAAAGAAATGACAGAAATCAAATGGAAGTTACAGTGGACAGTGAAGACGAATATGAGGGGGTTTCTTTTTTTTCCTATTCGGTTTTAAAATGAGCTGAAAAACAACCATAGTGCCTAAGAGACCCAAAGATTTTGGAAAAAGAAGGAGTCCATATGGTAAGATTATTTAGAAAGTGGAAGCGTTCTCAGAAGGAATCTCATGGGACTGACTACCACACTGTGTTTTGAGGCGCTCCACTACAAAGGTTCCCCAAAAATCACCCTGGCAGAGGGGAGGGGAAGCCAGGTGGAGAACATTCTTCTTTGATGTGTTTCACAAACTGGACTTTGTATGACATTTTGTTTAGAGAAAAAAAAATAAAAGTATTCGTTCATTGAAAAGCATTTGCCTAAAACTGCTGCCTCAATAAAAGGTAGTGCTTTGAAGAGTTGGAAAAGCAAAGGAAAAAGGAAAGAGGGTTTGACCCAGGAATGGCATGAGGTCAGACAATGGAAGGTAAATAGTGTGAGAGAAAGTCATTTCTGAACAAAGTCATATGTAGTAGAGTGACCTTGGGAGCCTGAAGGAGCAGGCAAGTTTAGGACCAGTTCTCCCAAGAAGGGTCTTGAGGGTGTCAACGTGGGATGAATCAAAGAGGTCATGGAGAGTGGGGAGTTCACAGCCATTTGTAGAGATAGCATGTGCATCACGTTCCCTTTCCTTAGCAGCTCAAAGCCGTGGCAGTACACATCAACACTGGCACTGAGGATGCTTCTGGATTGGAGGCCAGTCCCAGGGTATAGACAGGTATAGGAGCCGAATGGAAACTGAGTGAAGGTGTGGCTGGATGGAGGCCAGGCAGGCTCAGAAGTCCCAAAGCTTGGTAAGGAAGGAGGATATGGGTGGTGGAGGACTCAGCACTTGTACATTGTGAGTTTCGTAAGTGTGTGAGGCAGTGATCAAGTAGTAACTACTAAGTCGATTTTAGTGCAACTGGGCGCTGCAGATAATTGAAACATGCAACATCTTAGAATTTACATTCCAAGGACTTTGTAGGGCTGGTGCTTTCTCTCAGGCAAAACCTTCATGGTCTGCATGCAAAGGACAAAATATCACCTAAACTCTAGCAAACACATTGCTCCATGCCGAGTGACCTCTTGCGGAAGGAGAGGTATGTTCTGGTACTTTGGGCTATGAGCTTACAATAAATCAGTTGACACACAGACTTCTCCTTGGTGTTGGGTAAATTAGTCTTATAGACAATTTACTAGAAAATAAGGATGCAGCTCCCGTGGCTCCGCTGGGAAAACAGAAATACTAATCCATGTTCCACCATCATGGCAGCCTGGTGGCAGTTCTTCCATAAAACCTTCTTTACATTCATGCATGGAAGAAGAAGGTCTAAAGAAGTGAATCCAGGACACTAGTGGAGCAGCAACAACAACAACATAGAGGCACGAACTCCCTCCCCAGAGCTAATATTAAGCTCCAGGTGACCCTTCCTGCTTAATTGTTGATATCATATGCCCTGAGTTATTATCCATCAAAGCCAATTCTTCAACAATGGATCCTGGAGTTTAGAAAGCATGCTTTCTCAGCACCATCTTCTCTAAACGCATACTCTGCCCAGACACCAGCATCACACCCTCTAAATAGTAGTCCACACAAAGCAAACGTTTGCTCCAAGTGCTTGAGAATTTTGACAGGGACATGTTCCTACAGGAGCCTGTGTGAACTGATTGCAACCAGACTAGCCTGGTGACAAGTGACAGGCAGTGGGTAATGTGGGGAGCTCAGATGGGCTGCCAAGTCCAGGGCCAATTGCTTCCCAGAGCACATACGAGGGACAAGAGCCAGCAGGAGCAGGCCAGCAGCCACCCCAGCCAACTTTCCCCACTGCTACCAGGAGGCATACCAGGAAGCTGTTGGGATGTGGGTCTCAGGTTGTGGTCCTGATGCAGTGAGAGCAGAGGAAGGAGAATGGGAGTGTTGCTCTTTAAGAAAAAGACCTTGTAGTGTACAATAAATGCATCTCTTTCTTCTTGCTTTTCTTCTAAAAATGAAAAGAGTAGAAGGAAGATCTTTTCTTAATTGGCTGGCGTCAACAAACCCCAGTCATTGCCTAGGTTTGTTGAACTTAGTACAGGATGCAAAGGGCCTCTCTCCATCAGAAGACCTTGCAGTTGTGGGGAGCAGGAGTCTCCCATAATAGGGAAAACACTGTCTGACCCCCTCCTCTTTCAGCCTGATGAGGAGCGAGCAGGGGAATGGTTCAGAATCTGGGGACAACTGGCTTAGAAACCCAGAAGTATTGGAAATGGACTTGGTCCCCTAGTGATGAAATCAAACATTCTTCTCGCAGATTTTCTGATTTCTCATGCTGCTTCAAAGCCCTTGGCAGAGCTCTGGCAATTCTGATTCTTTTCTAGCATAGACCATGAAAACCGAAAGTACCCCATTGGAGGGGCACACAATACACACACACACACACACACACAACTATACACAAAAGCATAGCTGAGACCCCTTTGTAATCCAAACCTACTGATATAAATTGTTCAGATTCTGGCTTAGAGACAGAAAGAGAGAGAATAAAGTAGGAAGTCGTGAATAGATTGATTTACTCAGCAGTCAGATTTCAAATCAACCTCCAACCTCCCAGAATCCTGCCAATGTGCTGACACCATGTATGATTTCAGAACTAAAACAGAGTTCTGTTCTTCTTTATCAGACTTTGGCCCTAAAGGCAATTTTGTCACCTCCCAGTCCCATAATAAATTTAATGGGTTGTTGAATTACCTTCATGTGCCTGGGGCCTTGGCAAACATGGCTGTCTGTAGACTGTAAAAAGATAAAATGCTGACTCTTTGGCCTTAGACAAACTTCAGATTCCATTGTGATTGACAGGCCTAATGAATGAGGCCCGAGATTAGGCAGTGGTTCTTGGGGTTCTGGTCCCAAGGAGAGAGCCTTTGGACAGAGGTAACCTTTGACCAAACAATCTCAAATTCCCAACAGATTCCTTGGGTTTGGCCACAGAATATATGAGGGATAGCTGTTTAGCAGGCCAGACAGAGTTGTGCTTCCCAAGTGGACAGTTGTCCCTTCCCCACCACAGCCTTCTGTCTCTCTTTCCTGGTGGGGTGGGAGTAGCTTTCTATTCTAGATCTGGACATTCAATTTGGAGCCTTCTCTGTGCCAAACCCCACTTCCTAGTCGCCACCCTTACACTCAAGTAGACCCTCTCCTCCAACCCCAGCCTCCTTACTTCCCACCTCTATCCAACACCACAAGCTGCCAGACGCCTCAGCTTCAGGAGCTGAGTGTGGTGGGCTTTATCAAGATGTTTGAGGAACCCAAAGAGAAGTACTGTTGAAGTCTTCCTCAACCAAGCAGTGGTTTTGAAGGAATGGTAACGAGGCATGTTTTCACAATGCTATTTTAACCTCCACTTGGAGATTATTTTAGAATAGTTTTTGTTATGCTTCTATTTAAAAACATCTTTTTATATCCAAGTTCTTTATATTCCAGATACACTAAATCCTCTTATTATTCGGAAGGGTCAGGAGATGAGCTCAAATGTACTACTTTAATGGATCTCAAACTTGGATGTATAGAAGCATATCCCATACAGCTTGTCTCTCATTTAGATTCTGTGCCACAGCCTTAAAATGACTCATTCAGAAAATCTAAAATTGGGAACCAGAGTCTGCTTTTTTATGCGCATCCCAGATTACAAAGTAGATGGTCCAAGGAACATTGCCTTAGCTAATAGTTTACAATTTGCAGATAATCCCTTTTCACAGAATAATATGGTTTTAAAATGGATCCATAACAGGAAATCTAATAGAAGTATAATTTAAAATGACTTTAGGTCAACCATCTGAGCATGCTGTTCTCTTGGGCATCTTCTGAGAGCTTCAGGGTTTCCATAGTGTGAAATTCCAAGGGGAAAGTTTCCTTTGGACCCTCCTCTGCTACTACTCCATCACATATGTTATGTTCAAATGGAAGACCTTAGGGGAAGCTGCTGTGGGGTGCCAGTGACTCGCCTGACATAACCCAGTTCTTTCTGTTCACCAGAGGGCTCTGTTTACGTGGCCACTCAGCCTCACCTGTCCCAGAGATTATCTCCTTTTACCTGCTTTTGCCCTTGCAGGCTGTCCTTGGCCCACTAACAAACTATTGGAATAATCAGGCAATGAAGTTATGCAATGATTGTTTGCACAATCATTGTTGACTTAGAGCAAATAGAAGGAGGGG